CTGATGGGATGAAGGCAGAAATTATACCACTTCTAGCTTTGACATAAAACCTTCCATGCAACCCTCCAAGCTCACTGGAATCCATGAAGCCAGTTCCCTTTTCTCAAAATATCCAACCTTGATGTTGTGCATGACCTATGGAAGTTGGTGCCCTTTACCAAGGAGATGCACACATGTCTGGCCAGGGCTCAGCAAAGCCAAAGGAGGAGATAGCATTGGCACTGGTGACTGTACACTTCTCCGCTGTCCCACCCCCATGACATGAGCCTGTGGACTGGAGACATTGTAAACAGCAGCAGCAGCTTCAACCCTCACCTCCAGATCTCATGCAAATTGACCTTGAAGTCAAACCTTATCTAAGACTATAGAAAGATAGGAATTCTCAAAATGTACCTCCAGCTTTGCTGAGTTATCTATGTAAAAGACCACCATAATGGTAGAAGAGAAACAAGGGAAGAATTCAGGTCTTGATCACACCATTGGGCTGTCAAATAAACCAATATTGAAGCCTCTGCTATCTCTAGATTTTTTATTTATTAGAAACTATATCTTTCTTATTGAATAAGCTATTCTGAGTTACAGTCTTCTGCTACTTCTGCCCAAAGTCACCTTAATTGATAAACCAATATACTTCATATTCTAGACATATTGTTGCCAGCCATAAACCATAGAAGAAACTTAACACACTGTATCTGGGAAAACAAGAAAATATTTAAAAAGAGAAATTACCCTGCATAATAATTCACTAGATACCAATAAATATGGTCATATTTGGTCTACAACCTGTGAATTTACACTGAACTGGAAGAAAATACACAGATGAGATTAATTGTGATGTTATGCTTCCTGGGAGGGGTCCCCCAGTACACAGTTCTTTTCTATCAGAGTGGCATTTAAAGTCATTTTGCTTTCTAAAATACAACTATAAATGTTAAATGAAAGAACCAGGTTGATCACATGTTTACACTGGGGAACAACCTGTATAATTAAATTACTTCCATTTCTATTTCATCTTGACCCACTGAGTTTCCAGCATTGCATGGCTGAGAGATCCACTTAAAAGCTCTATTGCAAGAAGTTTTACCCCAAAACTCTCATGCAAAGTGTATGGCTTTGTATTCCCTGCAGTCTAGCCTTTTTCTCTGAGTCAGTAATCCAACCGTAATCCTAACCAAAACATTATTGCCCTTTTGTCCCAGCCTACTGCTCTGGTTTCCTGTATACTTATGAGTGCTGCATCCTAAGAGAAATTTCTTTTTGGCCCCATATATTCTGCTGGTACAGAGTCATCTTCAACAAAGACCTCAGCTGAACTGAACTGAAGTAGTTGATGCTTCAGAATCCGTTCCTGTCAGAAGCACTAGGAAGACTAATGTGTCTTCATTTGTGGATTCCTTGCTCTGTCTTCTGTTCTTCTTTTAATTTCCAATACCAGCAAAAATATGGATTTCTATGGCTTGTTCATGGGAAATAGCTATGTTTTTCAGTTTGCCTCTATTATCACTCTATACTTTTCAACCAGGTTTAGCCTGTGTCTTCCAACCAAAAGAAAAGTAATTTGTTTCTCTTGTTGGCAAACCATCCTTTTGCTGTTGCTCAGCACTCCTGAATTGTCTGCCAAGACTAAGGTGACTTTTCTTCCTGAGGCTCTGTGTTTCCTTCTAAAACCCCTTTTCTTATGTCCAATACTGAAGCCTTCTCAGCTTTTTATTGTAAATTTTTACTCTGCCTAAAAGCAAATTGAATTTCAAGAGCAAAGCTACCCCAGCTACACAGCTTTCTAAACTCATTGCCCCTTAATTTTATAATAATTTTGTTGAGATTTTCCCAAGAAGATGAAAAATGTCATACAGAATAAAGGCCTCCATTTTTCACTGAAAAATATATTTTAGACAACTGTAATAAACTTGACCTGTGACTTTAAATTCCCAATAATAATTTAGTACAAGTTCAAAACATGGAGTGTTACAGGGATCTGTGACAGAGCGGGGCATGCCCTTGGCCTGGATGCACTTCATGATAGGTAAGGAGGAGTTTGGCATGATCAATCTTAATACCATCAGTGTTGTTAGACCCTGTACATATCCACTTCCTACAATTTAAAGGAAGCTTCCCCATCCCCTAAGGAAGCTGTCTGACTTTGTCATGAGAGAGTCCATCAATACAATATATAATTAACTGTCCTGGAATGCTCTTAGTACACCTCCCCTGATTATAAGGGGAAAAATGTCTCCACAGCCAAAACCATATACCAGATTACTTATTCTATGGTTGAATTATGTCTTATCAAAAGACATGTTAAAATCCTAATCTTTGTCCTATTAATATTACCAAATACTTTCCTAAATTGATCAATAGAGTCAAAGCAATTGCTAGAAATATCACAGCTACTTTTTTCAGATATAGATATAGACATACTAATTCTAAAATTCATGTGAAATTGAATGGGAATCAGAAAAGACAAATTGTCTCAAAAGAATAAAATTGGAAAATTCATTATTTCTACAAGAATACAATAATTTACTACAATGATACAGTAACAAAATATGGTGGTAATGGCAGAAGAATAGACATAAAACAATGGATAAAATCCTCAGACAGAAATAAACATTATTTACAATTGATTTCAACAAAGTTGACTAGGTAATTCACTGAAGACATAATAGATTTTTTTAACAAATGTGACTAGAGAAACTAGGTCTCTGTATAGGAAAGAATGAATTTGAAATTCTACCATGCATCATGCCCCAAAATTAACACAAAGTGGATACAGGACTAAGTGAGAGAAGGAAAAAAATTATAAATTTTACATACAAAAAAATGAAATAAATCATCATGACCTTGAGTTTGTCAATGGTTTTTGAGATAAGACACCAAACAAAGTTAAAAAAGACAGACAAAACAAATAAATTAGACATCATCAAAATTAAACATTTTGTGCTACAAAGAACACTATCAATAAAGTGAATCCTGGTGTGGGGATGCATTACTGGAGGCTGAGGCAGGTAGATCACAAGTTTGAGCTCAGCCTGGAGACATTATTGAGACCCTTTCTCTAAAAAGTGGGGAGTTGGCTGGGGATATAGTTCAGGGCAAAGACTCTCAGTTTAATCCTCAGTACCAAAATAATTAAATTTTTAAAAATTTCAAATCATATATCTGATAAGGTACTTATATAGAGAATATATATAAAGCTCTTAAAATTTGATAGTAAAGACATACAAACCTTAATTTAGAAGTAAGCAAAGAACTTGAATAGACATTTCTCCAAAGAAAATAAAGAAGTGACTAATAAGCATATTAAAAGATAATAAATATCACTTATTAGAAAACTCAAATCAAAAGCACAAGATAACCACTTGACTACCACTAGAATGGCTGGGATAGAAAAGACAACCACCAGTACTGTATGGGTGAAGACAGAGAGAAAACAAAACTCTCATTCATTACTAATGGGATCAGAAAACAAGGTAGCTCCCCTGGAAAAGTCTCACACTTCTTCAAAATGTAAAACATAGAGTTACTCTACCTACTTAAAGCAATCTGAGGGAAGGTCAAGGCTAAAGACCTGACCTTGAGATGGAAAACAAGTTCAATTCAGGCAGTGCTTTGACAGGTCAGCTGTGGAGGAAGATGCTCCTAGCAGGAGACTTGAAAGCCGGCCTGGAGACTGTCATCCAAGGGGAGGAGGTGAGGGATGAAGATAAAGAGAGCCTGTGGGTCTAAATGATGCCATTCAGCCCCACATCAGGGAATCTGCAGCACAGCAGCAATTTGGAGTCTTTCACAGACCCAGTTTAATCTGCCATATTTCTGGCAGATAGATATTAGGTATTGTTTTGCAGGGTAGACCAAGCAGACAGGCTCTAAATGGCTAAAAGTCTGCTTATTTGCTCTATATTTAAAATAACTAGATATGTAAAAATTCAATTGTGGCACTGACAGCCTTGATCTAATGAGTGCTGACCTGTTGGAAAGATTTACACAATGTAGGGTCAACATATAGTCTTCTTTTGTGAAATTATATAATATATTCCACATGGCCCATCGATGCTACTGTTAGCCATATACCTGAGAGAAATGAAAACAGACATCCTCATAAAAATGTACACATAAATGTTCATGACAGTATTATTCATAATTTCCAAAAAAGTGAAAACATCCAAATGTCTACCCACTTATGAAATGATAAATAAATTGTAGTATACCCACACCACAGAATATTATTCAGCATTAACAAAAATAACATAGTGATTCATGCTCCAACGTTGATGAACTGTAAAAATATTACGTGATAGAAGCCAGTCACAAATGACCACATATTTTATGATTCTATTTATGTAAGTTTTCCAACATAGGCAAATCTAGAAGTAGGAAGTAGATTAGTGCTTTCCCACAGCTAGAGGGGAGAAGAATTGAGAGTGATTGCTAGTGGGTGATGGGTTTCTTTTTAGAGCAATGAAAATATTCTAAGATTAGATTATGCTAGTGGTTGTACAAGTCTGTATATATAATATCTCATAAATCATTTTAAATGTGTAAATATTATATGTGAATTTATATTTCAATAAAGCTATTAAAATTGCCATAGAAAGATCAACACACTAAATTCACAATTTATTTCTTACACTTTACTCATCTTTTTATCACATGCATATCTTGCTGCACCCAACACCTTGTTCCTTTCCCTCACCTGAAACTCCTTCATTCTACCCTCTGGAAGTCAAGGTCAGTCACCAGCAAAACCTTCTTGAACCTATCCTTCTCTCTGCAAGTTCCTTCATATTTTTGCTCTAAAACCTAGCTCTCTGTAAAGCACAATTTCCCTTCAGCTTTTTCAAATGGTTATTTTATTTTATATATATCTCACATTTCAAGACCAAGAGGTATTCTACAGTATCTACAGTCTTAAATACTTGAATAAAGAATGTAAGAGGCCTTATTATACATGAGTACAGCCTGGCTGCACATCTAAGCTCAGGTCCCCCTATTCTCTCCAGATAGCTGCCTTGTGGCTACCACTGGGGCACAGCATGAACTGCCCCCAAAAAGGCAGATTCAGGAAACAGGTTCACCCCAGCCCTGGAAGCTGGCTCAGGACAATTTGAGCACAGAAGTCCAATGTCCTACATACCAGGTATGTAATCCAGGCTGTGAGTGGCCTATCTTCTTTGTCCCATGGAATCCTTTATGGAAAGGGACATGGCAGGAGGAGGGCCAGCTGTGAGCCTTGCAAAGAGTGAAATGCATACGTATTAAACTGTTTGAGTCTGAGGATAATACTGTCATTATATTACTTTATGTCTAATATATGTATGACCTAAAATTTTAGTGTTTGTTTATACCATACATTGACTTCAGAGTGAAATTTTCTTCATATTTGGACTGGTCAATGTTACATATAAGAATATAGCAGAGGCGTCCAAAAGAAGAATCAAGATACATTATGTACAAGTACAAAATCCCTATGATGAATGCAATCATTATGTATATCTAAAATATACCACTAAAGTTAATATAAAATATAAAAAAGAAAAGTAAACTCAAGACATTTCTAGGTAAATAGATGCACCTTGAGACCATATTCTTAAATGAAATAAATTGGACACACATGCTTAAATATCACATTGTTTCTCTGGTGTGAGAAACTAAAAGAATAAACAAGTACCAAAATGTATAACAGGTATTGGGAAGTAGGAAGAAAATGTTCAAATGGGAAGGAGAACAAAGGATAGGTAGGGGAAAGGGCAGAAAATAAAAAAAGAAAGAACAGAAGGAAAAAATGGAAACAACATTTTTGTAAATAAGGATGGAAAGAGGAGTTGAAGGGAAGGGAGAGCATTGGGAAAGAAAGAAGAGTCAAGATCTATTGTGTACAGGTACAAATTCCCTATGATGAATATGATCATTATGTATATCTAAATGTACCAATAAAATTAATTTTTAAAAAGACATCTACATGAAATAATTCATACTGGGAAGAAACCCTATGTATGTAAGCAATGTGGGAAAGCTTTCAGTACACACATGTATTGTCAAATACATGAAAGAAATCGCACTGGAGAGAAACTTTATATATGTAAGCCTATTTTGAAAATCCTGTGAAAATTTCTTTAGTAGAGACCTGTAGGAGTAATTAATACAGAAAGATTGAGGTCACTATTTCTCTGTAAAATTTCCAAAACTAAAATCCCAGATAGAGATATCCTGAAGTACATACATTATTTGTTTTTCAGTAAATAACATAAATATATGAATTACATATCTACAGTGTTTAATATAAAAATATTGAGTTGACATAGATATTTTTGTGTATCTTTGAGCTTAATACATAGTATCTTGAGCATGGTGAATTAAAAGGTATTTTTTACTTTCAACTACAGTTAGTATTTGTATAGTTTTTATTTTGTCTTTACAATTTGGAGGTATAGGCTACTAAAAAACTTAATTTTGTTAATTGCTTTTTGTCAATTAGAATTTTTTTGGCTTAAATTCTTTTATTGGTACATTTTAGGTATACATTTACATTTATGATTGGGTACTTGTACCTGTACATGATGCATCTTGGTTCTTATTTTTTCCCCATTCCCTGTCCTCCCTTCACCCCCTCCACACTTCCCTATTTACAACGACCTTGTTTCTATTTTTTCCACTAATCATAATTTTTCCTTCCCCTCTTCTTTCCTTTTCCCTTCCCCTTCAACATCCCCTACCCCTGTAGAATTATCTTCCTATTTCAAATTACCAACTATTCATTTTAATCATTGTAATCCTTATTTACACTTTCAATTTCTCACACTAGAGAAACTATTCAGTATTTACAC